ATGAAATCGTAGTTGATGTTCACATCCAGAAATTTAGAGAGCCATAATACTTATTTAGTATATAAAAAATTTGTTAAATACTGTCTTGAGATTCTGAAATATTAATGCATCTTTAAAATACTGTAGATTTCTTATCAAAACCACTAAAGTTGGAGTGGCAAATGTTGGACTAACAGTTAAGATGTCCACATTCTATACTGGAATATCTGGGTTCAAGTTTCAGCTCCACTTATGATTCCAACTTCCTGCTAATGAGAACCCTAGGAGGCAGCAAGTAATGGCTCATGTAGTTGGGTCCCTGCTACCATGTGGGAGATATGGATTGGGTTCCCAGCTCCTGGCTTCAGTCTGGCCCAGCCCCATCTGTTGAGGGTATTTGTGGAGTTGACTGCAATTTTCTCTCTATCTATCTCTATCTCTCTGCCTTTCAAACAAATAAATATATTAAAAGTGGTAAAATTGAGGTGGGGTGGATATGCATAAAAATTGAAATATTTGACATAGGTTTTTAATTTTTAAATAGTCAAAAATACATAGCCAGAGATATCAAGTCAAAACCCTAAGATTGCTCTGATACGCTGGTATCACAATTTCTATAAGCATTTTACTTGCGATTTTCTCTTATTTATGATTAGCTCCAGACATAAGTTTAAAGTCAATCTTATTTGGTCCGGGTATATATATTATTACAGGAACAAATAAATCTCTGATAATTTTACTAATTTGTCAGAAAAAAATGAATCTACCTATTTTTAATCTAATAAATACTAACTTTGATTATAAAGATAACTTTTAAAAATTGTGTGATCTAGAAATTCAAGTGCTTTTGAAATATTCTGTAATTTTCAATCTTTTTAGTTAAAAAAAGGATTTAAAAATCTGTTAGTCATCAAATTGAGGTATCACTATTTTTAAAACAGTCTTAGCTGCTCTAATATCCCGCTAAACATTCCTCAATAATAAAACTTCTAATTGGGTGTCTCTGTTATGAAAAAATCAGAAAAGCATCTTTCATTTTTCAAATAATTCCTTGGTCATTTACAATATGCTATGCCTCAAGCAAGAAGGTGTATTTGCACACTGCTATTGTAAAACTACAAATTGGTACAATATTTCACTTTGGATGGATTTAGTTATCTTGAAATGATTACATTTTCTCCGTGAAATCAAAAATTCATACAGCCTTTCATGCATTATCTGATTTAATCTGCATAGCAATGTGAGATATTATCAGCCCAATTTTAAAAGATGAGCAAACCAGGGCACAGAGGAGCTACGAATCTGTGGAAGCAGAAATATTAAGAGATGATATGACTCAAAAACCTTCCCTGATGGTTATCACTCAATCTTGCCTTCAGCAAATTTCAGTTATGGTAGAGCAGGGGGTCCACATGGGAGCAAAGGACTCGAGGAGGGAGAAGGCTACAAGGCTGACCGGATGCTGGAGAAACCAAGGAAATGCCTCGTATTTTCAAGAAGAGGGAGTGGCCAGCTTTGCCAAGTGCAACACACAGACTCAGAAAAACAGACTGAAAAAGATCTCTTAGATCATGGTCACATTTTAATGACCTTAATGAGAACAGTTAAGGAATGGTGGATGCAAAAGCCAAATTTCTCTATGAGGTAATAAAGCAGAGTCAGGGGTACATCCCGCTCCTTGGGAAATTTTAAGTTCTCTAAAGAAAGGAAAAAGACATTTGGTGGTGACCAAAGAGGAAAATAGCCCCAGAGGTGTTTCATTTTGTAGGAACTTGGGGAGAGAGAGAGTGTGGAGATAACAGGCGAGATGGGTCCTAGCTGTAGAAATGAGAAGCCAGAGTTCAGGGTGGCCTGGGGAAGGGGGCAACAGTCGGGGTGTCTGTGCATTGGGTCAGCACTTGAACTTCAGGAAGGAGCAAGCTGTCCTCCGAGAAAGGAAGACAGATCACGGGAGCCCCTGTGCGTGTGGAGCGAGGGGAGCAGTTAGGAGCCAGCTGGTGGCTGGTGGAGGACTTAGCCGGGACCTGACTGTCCACACTGTCCACGTGAAGGAAGAGCAAGGTCATCTGCCGAGACACAAGACAGGTCACTGACAGGGGGTCCGAAGAAGCGTGGTGTCTGGGAATCTTTGAGGGGCCCGCAGAGTACAACAACCATAAACAAGTAAAGTGCTGGCAGGAGCTCCTGAGAACGCAGCCCGGGCTGCAGACCAATCCTTTCAAGTCCCCCGATCTGCCGGGAAGCGAGCTCTCTCTCCACCCCGGGTGTTCGCTCTCCTGCACACGGCAGCGGGAAAGGCAGATGGAGCCAGGATTCGGTTTTGCCATGCAAAAGCAACGAAAGAAGGCAGTCAGCAAGAAGACGACAACAAGCAAGACTCGTTCCAGGCCAGAAATAAAACTAAGTCCTTGTACCAGTTGTTGGTGAAGTTCCTTTTTCCTGTTCCATATATTCCAATGCCCCATTTAAGACTGTTAAATCATATGCTCAGGCTGTTTTCTAAAGAGTTCAACTATTTCAGAGTGTGGGAGCTTGACCTAAGAGCACTGCTCCTGGGGTGTAAGGAAATGAACTTTTAAATCAGGACCTTACAGCGCAACATCAGAAACCGAGAGAAATACACTAGCTTCTATACATCCCACAGAGAAAATGGATGAGTGAGCCTGTGAGTTCAAAGCAGTATTTGTGGGATGGTGGAGTGGTCCTCAGTAAGAATTTCTGTCCCAGCTAGCACAGTCAAGGCCATGGCTGATTTTAACAAAAGACTCCATCCGTGGTTCACAAACCAGTGACCCCAAATAAAAGAATCTTGGAGCAGGAGGGGAGGGTTAAGACCATTTAGGACACCTCTCTAGTTTCCAGAGAAGGAAACATCAATCACAGGTGATAAAGCATTTTGTAGCAAGGTTCAGAATGACAATCTAATCCTGCTCTTTATCCTGAAATCTCTCAAGTTAGAATGTAATTTTTTTTCTTCACAATATCTTATGGATGCCTTATTCTTAAACACCTAAAATTAATCACTTTTAAGTATTTTAGAAGCAACCCAGAGACATCATTCAAGACTTTTGTGCAGGCACTCCAAGTTTTTGCAGATTTAATATAATTTAAAACAGGGATTTATAAAAATACAGCATATCATGCACTAAAACCTTTACTCCAAATCTTACTACCTGAGTGGCTAAGTTAAGTCAACCCCTCTTTATCTCTGTTTTACATACAAAGAATGAGTACAATAATGCCAGTTTACAAAATTTGTGCAAAAATTATATGAAAAGTACTTAACAAAGACAATGGAATGTGAAGAGTATTTAAAAAAAAAAACACCTATTGCTGCTGCTCCTGCGTAGATTTGTTTGTTTGTTTGTTTGTTTTGTAGTAACAGAGAAATGCTTCCCAGTAGAAAAGACACTGTGGGTCAGGGGACGCATCGCCTCTGAGACACATTCTCTACATTGGAAACATCAAGTCTTCAGAGTCTCCAAAGGCTAAAGCTTAGTTTAGCCATCAGGTGGCCGTGGGACCACCCTACATCCTCCTGCCCCTCCTCTCGGTTTCCTTTCTCTTGGATGTGCCCCGGTCTGCTCCCTTCCCCGTGGTGCTCATGGTGTGCCTCACAGTTCAAAACAGTCGCATCGCTGGTTCTTGTCTACCTTCCTCAACATAGTGTGAACGTTAAAGAACAAAATAGTTAACCTTCCTCAATGGGTAGTCCCAGTCACTAGGCAGATAACAGAGACTGATGAGTGATGAGGAAGCAGGACCAGATCCCTAGAGCAGGTCCTTTGCCATGAACTTCAGGGAATGCTCCACTTAAAGGCGTGATGAACTAACGTGCACTTCGGCTGATTGAACTGGGTGTCTGCACTTACATCACAGAGAATGATTGCCCTCTCTGCTTGTCTTCCATCCAAAATGCTCTGATTTCTAGCTGGCTCCTTGAGCTAGCAAGAAGAAGATGAAAACTATAAAATAGTAAAATGTAAGTGCTTGTAACAGAATCAAAGAGCCTTAGTGAAGAACTCAGAATCCTCAGTATGCTCAAAGAAGAGTAGGTCAGTGGGTACAATCTAATTCAGGGTAAATTAGCCCAAAACAATGCAGTTTTGACCTACAGATTAATGTGGACCCTCAGATAATGAGGGCTTCAAAAGGATCAGCTTGTGAAGAGTGTGTAAATGTCAAAAGGAGACACCTGGCTTACCTGTAACTAGCAAGTCAGACAATAAAAGATGAAAAATAAAGCTTACTCTTTCTGGAGGACGGAAACTAAAGACAATGGGGCCCTCTCTACCATCCACATTGTCCTGCTGTTGAAAATGTAAGAAAAAGGGGGGGGGGCTGGCACAGTAGCATAGTAGGTTAAGCATCTGCCTACTGTGCTGGCATCCCATATGGACACCGGTTTACGTTCTGGGAGCTCCACTTCCTATCCGGCTCCCTGCTAATACACCTGGGAAAGCAGTGGAAGATGGTGCAAGAGTGTGAACTCCAGCACCTGTGTGGGAGACCTGAAAGAAGCTCTTGGCTCCTGACTTCAGACTGTCTCAGCCATCTGGGGAGTGAACCAGCAGATGGAAGATCTCTCTCTCTGTGTCTTCTCTCTCTCTCTAACTCTGCCTCCCAAGTAAATAAATAAATCTTAAAAAAAAATAAAGAAAGAAAACGTAAAAAAGAGGAGAGAGGCAGGGATGAGCAGATTTTTAACTAGGTCTGCCAGAATTGTGCACCTTTGGATTGAGCCCTTTTCAATTCTGGTTTAGACCAAGTCCCCCCCAGCTCCTCAGGTAGTGAGTGGAGAATTGGAACTGGCACAGTGACTATGGCCTCGGGGCATGTGACACTGTTGAATAAGACCAAGTTAGTGGAACCCTTTGCAAAGGGTGACCTGGGGTGACAGTGACTTCCACAGAAGTCCCCAACACACTGCAGGCTGCTCACTATCTCATAGCAACTTGTCTCAGGAGTTTTCTTCTAATCCACCCAATCCTGTTGTAATCCCAATTTTATATATTCCTTACCCTAATAAGTTTGGGTAGTGTGGATCATCAACATTTCTCCAACGATGTTACTCGTGGCCTTCCGAATCCCCAGATTCCGGAATGCACATTCAAGTGATTATTACCCTTCTTTTCCTCAGTGAGAAGCTAATGAAGCACACCAACTTTAAATGCCACTGATGGTGCTCACTCATTCAAGATTTCTTTCACATAGGTGACTTTGTCAAGACATGTGTAGTTCAAACTGAGTACAATTCTACTTGCTGTGGGCCCTCAAAGTGCTTGTGAATACTGAAAACCTCGGTGCCCAGCCTGTTGAGACCCTGATAATACCCATCCAGATCAGACTGGCCGACTTGGTGGCCCAATTTGTCGAGTAAGTGCTGGCATTTCTGCTCACCGTGTGCTCCGCATTCACTTTGTATTTATCATTTGACAAAACACTTGCTGGGCTCGGATTCTGTATCCAGCCCACAAAATACAAAATAAAATAAAACACAACTCCTTATCCTTGAATGCTATACAATGTACTGTGGGAAGATAAGAAAATTATATAAGGGGGCTTCAAAAAGTTCATGGAAATTAAATTAAAAGATTATTTTTTATGTAAAATGAAATCTTTGCATACAAAGCACCTTCAAAGTCTTCATGGAAAATGCAAATACGAAAACGTATGCATGTATTTTAATTTATTTGCACAAAATAAACTTATCTTCTGTTTTTCCATGAGCTTTTTGAAGTACTCTTATATGACAATCCTGGGAGCAAATTGCTACAGGATACAATTGCTTTTGTTTTGTTTTTTAAGAGAATAACTTTTCTTAAGTTAGAAGCTTACAAACAAAATTAATTTCAAGAGTAAAGTCCTACATTTAAAGCATATTTATTCCCTTGCTAACCACAGTAATCTGTTGTAGAGAAATTGAGAATTGGGAAACAGTAACCTTGGTGCTATCTACTCCTAACTGAATAGATCTCATCAGATGACAGTAAGCGTGGACTGACAACCATGCTATCAGGCAGCAAAGCTAAAACCTGAACCTAGCAAAGGCATCTCTCTTCCTATAACCATGAGCTCCGAGGAGAGAGAGAGAGAGAGAGAGAGAGAGAGAGAGAGGATGTGTTTTATTATATTTCATGTTGAAAACTTCAGGCAAGTCAAATTTGGTAGAGTTTTTTGAGCAAAGAGTAATTCATGAATGGGGCAGCACTCACAGAAGAGGTTCAGAGAGCTCCACCCAGCAGGGTGAGCAGTGAGCATGTACAGGCCAGATACATTAGCAAGTAGAAAAGCCACCTGATTGGCTATGGTGATGTGGTGTAATGAGCTGACTGCCAATGATTAGCTGAAATCTGGCTTCTTCTAATTGGCTGCAACTCAGCTGCTTGTCATACTCCTAAGTTAGGTTTTGGTGTGTTTTGTAGGAATTCAAAGTACAGAGTCAGCTTTGGGCTAATAGACTTATGTTTATTTAACCTAAATCTTAATTGGTCCTGACTGGATAGCTCATAGGCTGATGAGGACAGTGACCTTTCAACTATAAATAAAAAGTGTCCAAATATTACTAAACCAAAGGACACTAGAATATCTGCCCTGAAGACAGCTCCCCAGGAGAGCATCAATCCAGAGCATTTAATAGGAGTTTTGTGGATAACCATTCACAAATATTCTGGAGCAAGATTTCTTTACAGGACTTTGTCACAAAGCCCCCTGAGAACTCAGAACATAGCATAAATTTCCCATTCATCAGATCATCCACCATCAATAATTCTAATATTACACAGCTTTCTAAGTTCCAACAGCTGCCATGTTTTATGCTTCACTTAAGAATGTGAGTTTTGGGGCCAGTGCTGTAGCACAGTGGGTTAAGCCCCAGCCTACTGTGCCGACATCCCATATGGCCGCTGGTTCGAGTCCTGGCTGTTCCACTTCCAATCCAGCTCTCTGCTATGGCCTGGGAAAGCAGTAGAAGAAGGCCCAAGTCCTTGGGCCCCTGCACCCGTGTGGGAGACCCAGAAGAAGCTCCTGGCTCCTGGCTTCAGATCAGCTCAGTTCTGGCCATTGCAGTCATTTGAGGAGTGAACCAGTGGATGGAAGACCTCTCTCTCTCTCTCTCTCTCTCTTTCTCTTTCTCTCTACCTCTACCTCTACCTCTACCTGTAACTCTATCTTTCAAATAAATAAAATAAATCTTAAAAAAATGTGAGTTTTTCAGCTTCTTCACGATTGATAAGAACTTCCAGATGCAGCTAGACCATTCTATATGGACAATGCAAACGGTCAGAAATGATACAATCTACAGTTTCAAATAACCTTACATGGGACACAAATCCATAGCAATGAAGGATCATGGTAAACCTTGTCTAATGTTAACATGAACATGACATGAAAGTCACAGAACTGAAAGGTAATCACTCAATAAAATGAGGTGAGGTGAAAAAAAAGCGCAGATACTGAAGTCAGATGTATCTGAGTGTTAAGAGCAGTGGTGTAAACTTATGTAATTTGCTTTCTCGGGGCACCGGTACTTCTCTGAAGTGTGAGGAAGAAGAGTTGCATCCTGCGCTGCAGAGGCATCACAAAGTTACACGACCTGTGTCTGTGAAGTGCCTGGCATGGTACACGTAACGGTGCCTCTGTTCTAAGGACAGGAGAGGACATTTGTAGAATTCTGCAAAGTTATATCCATTTAAATTATTAGCTCTAAAGAAGTGATATTTTTCTAGACTCCTATCTCTAAACAATATTTTAATATTGAGGGGGAAAGGGAGGATTTTTTGAGGCAGTGAAAGCTTTTGGCAACATGAGATAGGACTTCATAGTTAGCAGCTAATGTATCCCAGGCAAACTCTGTAACCTTGAACCAAGGATGCAAACCTATAGCATTGACACAAAGCAATATTGAGATGGAAATGAATTTGTTTCACTCTCTGCCTTCCTAATGAACCCATCACTCATTCTTTCAACAAGACCTGGCGTGATTTTGACTGTTTCCTGGATTCTGTTTTGTATTGGAAGAAGGATGGCAGACACAATCCACCCATGACATATCTTGATGTAAACATAATTTTGCAAGCTGATGCTATCTTTGGGACTGTTATTGGGATACTTTGTTGTATTCCTGGAAAAAAAGAGAAAACTGTGCCCAGTTGAGACCCTCCAGCAAACAGAATGAAGATAGCCCACCATTGGGGGCTCAACTCCAAGCATTACTCAGAACCCTTTATGGAACTTGTTCAAAAACACTTTAATATACTTCTGAAATGTTTCAAAAAGAACAAAGGAAGGACATAAAATTGACCACAGACTTTCATTGGTGACTAGAGAAGTTGGACATTATTTAGATGTTCCTTGATTTACAATGGGACTGTATCCTGATAAACCCCTCATAAGCTGAAAATATCTTAAGTTAGTGATGCATTTAACACACCTCATCTACTGAACATCATAGCTCTGCCACACAATCTACTGTAGTGTCGGCTGTTTGCACATGGTTGTGTGGCTGACCTGCAGTTGCAGCTGACTGCTGCTGTCCAGCACCACGACAAACAGTTGTACCACAAATCACCAGCCAGGGAAAAGGTATAAAGTCAAATTTTGAAGTACAATTTTTGCTTAACACGTATCATTTTTATACCATTGTGAAGGCAAAAAACCCTGAATAGAAGCATCGTAACTTGCAGTTGTCTGTACTGTATGTGCAGTTGGTATCTTCTCTCCTGTGATTTATGTGTTCATGACAATTGCCAACTTTTCTATTTTGATGTTTATCATTTTCCATATTATTTAGAGTTTTTATGGTCAGGAATAGCAATATAATTATCAAACATATTGCAAATATTTTCCAAGATTTTGGAAACAGAATAAAATCTGTCTTTGCTTTTGTGTTCTCATTCATTAAAATCTCTCTTTTTCTTAAGATTTATTTATTTATTTGAAAGTCAGAGTTACACAGAGATAGGCAGAAAGAGAGAGAGGTCTTCCATCTGATGGTTCACTCCCCAGATGGCTACAAAGGCCGGAGCTGTGCCAATCTGAAGTCAGGAGCCAGGAGTTTCTTCCAGGTCTCACAGATGGGTGCAGAGCCCAAGGACTTGGGCCATCTCCTACTGCTTTCCCAGGCCATAGCAGAGATGGGAAGTGGAGCAGCTGGGTCTCGAACCAGTGCCCAAGTGGGATGCTGGTGCTTCAGGCCAGGGCATTAACCCGCTGTGCCACAGCGCCGGCCCCTAAAATCTCTCTTTCTTAAAATCTTCTATTACTCTCCTTATTGGCCTCTAATGCCACAGAGATGTGTAGGAAGATGAAAACTGAAGAGTGCATCTTTGATTGGATGATTAGAATGTCTCTGGTCACATTCTGCATACTTGTGAGATTTTCCGCCACCTTACAGAAGTATAAACAATGAGGGCAGGCTGATTCAGAAATGTGTGTATGAGTGGAAATAGCCACCATCCACGTCTATGGGTGGAGGAATCAGACCCCCATTGAGGACACTGATTTTGGCATTTTACTTTGCAGATCTGCAATGCTCTCGGAGAGATGGTGTTTCTCCCACACAGCGGCAGTCACCCTCATGGTGATTAATTCTTAATCAGAAGGGAATTCCATGTCCCTGTATTAGGATAGCTCATGAAAAAAATGAGATTACTTCAAGTGTCAAAATGAGATAGATAGAGAACAATCATTTTTATTTTACAGAAGAAAATGAATTTCAGAGGGTTTAAGTAATACCAATGTGGTATTCCAGTGTGGAAAAAAAAAATCAGGCTATAATCTTATCATCAGAAAACATAGTCTTGTGAATGAGACAACATACTGAAGAAACAGTTAGGCGTATGCAAAAGAAAATACACAAATTAAATACAAATAAAAATAATAAACATGAAATGCAATAAAATATTATAATGTATAGTCCTAAAAATAAATGTCAACCAGATCATTGAGAAATGAGTTAATCAATATTGACTACATCATTAGAGATGGTTGATGGAAATATTGGTACTTCAAATGGAAGCTGGATTTTGGCAAGCCGAGAGGGACAGAAAACTTTTTAGATGAAATAGAATGAAAA